TTTTCCTTAAAATTCAAGTTTTCGCGATTGAGGAAAAAGATTAATGAATATCAGGTACTAAATAATAATAATAATAATAAAGAAACGAAAAATTCACTAATAATACATCGAATAATGCGGTCCAATTAAAAATTATTATGAATTTTAACTCATAATAACGCGAAATCATTTTTTTTTTGAATTGCAAACCGGTATATCCTTCAAAAAAAAAATATCCTTTCAATTTATTTTTATAATTTGTTGCATTTTCTTGTTTTATTGTACATTTGACTACCTTAGTTTTGCGAATTGGTAAATAATGTGAAATTCTTTAAGTAGGCTGAAAAAATCTTACAATTTAATAAAATAAGTAATTGTTTTTCTTTTATATTTTTGTTACTTTTTTATTCTGCACAAAAAAAAACATTAAACTTGATTTTCTCACTATTATAAATAACTGGTATATAGCAAAGAGAGGAATAACTTTCAAAATCCAACACTAAAAATGCCAGAGGAAAAAAATAAAAACGAAAAACTAAAAAATTCCGAAATCAAAAATTTTTCATTTTTTATTCTTTATCGCATCTTTTCAAATTTAAAGATTTAATCCGATGTAAAGAGTGTTGCCATATTTCTTGTTTTTTCCTAATATACGGAAGTAAAATCTGGTAATTTTTTTTTAATTATAACAATCATTTCCATCTATGGAGTCCGAGCTCTGACTGACATGCAATTTTTAGTTTATATATATTTAGTTTATATATATAAAATCAGAGCGCACATGTAAGCAAATGCGTTAACTAGAAAAGTCAATGCTTGAATTTAGTCCCCATACACTCAACTGTGAAACAATTTATGAACAGATAAGATCGTAAGATAACTTCAATTCAAAATATGTCTTAAGAAAACATATCAAATTTATTCCAATATTTATTTTACATTGCTACTAACTTAGTTTTTTAGCAAAGAGTATTAAAAACACTTAAAGATATATGTACAAAATGGTAAATACCCGGAGTACAAAGAGTACTTCGACCGGAGACTAAGAATTAGAATTCTATCACAGGACATGTTTACATGTTTCGTTACAACGAAGTTTCCGTTTATTTCTGTTTTATGATTTTCCTTCAATTTCAATAAAATTACAAATTTATTATAAAAATTCAATTTCCCTTCATACTACACGGAAATAACTGAAAAATCACTTCAAATAAATTGCACTTATTAGACATATTTTTACATTTTTACATACTTTCGATTGAAATATTATTAAAATTCAATTAGAAAGTTGTCAAGAAATTAAAAATAAAATACGTTTAACAAATTATTTAACATATTTCGTTTTCAAATTAATTCATTTGAACATTTTCAGTTGAAATCTCTTAATTTATACTTGAAAACTTTATAATGAAAAGATTTTTATTTTTTTAATGAAGAATATGTTTGCAGTTACTACACATGCTCTTCAAACTTTAAGTTGAAAATATATGTATTTAAAAATTATTATTACTTTTATAAGTTATAAATTGGAAAATCGTGAATTTTCAATTATTTTGTTCTCTATATTTTCGTATTTCTATAGAATAATATTTTCCATATAAATTTCTGATTAACTATGTTATAAGAGTGTGTATATACTCCTATACAATAATGTGGATTTTATGTTAAATGAATAAATGTGAATGTTTATTTAAAATTTAAATTTAACATTTTAATTTTCAATTTAACAACAAAAAAATTATTTTTTTCTGTTATTTTATTTTTCAATTTGCAAATCATGAGCGCATCTTAATTTAATTTGTAACAGCATACAACAAAACAAAAAGCAGGAAAAAACAAAACTATCAAATCAACATGAATAACAAATTATAAATGTACAATCAACAAAATAATAAGTAACAAGTACCAATGATAAAAATAACTTAAAATATTCAAGTGAATATATTCGTGATTTTGAAATCTTGAATAATACTTAAAACTTAGCTATAAGAAACTATAAGAACACACTCAAGTTGTAAAGACGAGAACAATTAGTTTGGGTTGGAAACTGATTTAATTTTTTTTTATCCTACATTGTATTAATCGGAATAATACCTTGACTAGAATTGATGTTAGTTTTCGGGACTGTAGTGTTACTCAAAAATCAAATCAAAATTTTGAATTTTATTCATACGTTCTTATGATATAAATCCCATTATTCAGGTATTTTAAACTGATTTAGGCTGAAATATGAAATTTATGAACGTTTCAGCAAAGTAAAATGTTATATTGTTCAATGTTAATATTTAAAAGACGAAAAAACCAAATTAAATCCTAAGTTTTAATTAAAATTTTGGATGTTCGTCCTTGACTAAAACGCCCTACTTATCCTAATATAAGTTGAACGATTAGATTTTTAAAAAACCTGAAATTTCCAAACAAAAATATGCCATACCAAAATACTTTTTAAAAATTTTAAATATTGAAATGTACCTACAGGTTGGCACCTACCTACTCTCAATCAAAAAAATTTTTTAATCAAACAATCACAAACCAAGTTTCCATCCCTATAAATTATTTTTCTTAAACACTAATTTTATTTCATTATACTTAATTTTTTTATTTCTTTAAGCTCAGTTAAATTAAAAAATATCTTAAACAGACTCTAATTTAATATTCGTGCGTTTTAAATTATCACCTTTAAGGTCCAGTTAAAAGACGAAATAAAAAAAAATATTAAGGTAGAAAGAAAAGTTAAAGAAAAGAAAAATTTGGAACAAGAAAAAAAAATTAAAAATGTTCAAAGTTTAAAATTATTTCTTTTAACATGATTTTAATTTTAATAAGAATGTATGTGATCGCGAAACAAAAATTATTGAGTTTGCACTTGCAAACAATGTAAGTACAAAAAAGGTTTTCCAGCATTATTTTTCCTTAAGGAATTTTCATTTAAATTTTGAAGGCAATCAGAATCCCAGTGTGTTTTTTTGATTCATTCCCACTAACAATATTTATATAGCAAATAATTCTCTTGAATCTAAAATATAAGATTGTTCGTAGGGTAGGTACTAGTCTAAGCGTAAAGAAACAAGTTATACAAAGTATTACGGTACTTACAAAAATCCAGTTTTAAGTAATGTCTAAGTGTTTTCATGTTTAATGCTATTTTAGGAAATCCGGGTGAAATTTTCTAAATACAAGCTTCATTTTTGTACCGCAACTTTTGGTATACTTTGAAAACATATATATGTACATATGTAGGTAGGTAGATAGACTTGAATAATTTGCGCTTTATATTAAAACCAAAAAGATGTTTTAATAATTCAGTTTTAACCTAAAAGAAACAAATGCATAATAAAATTCTATTGACATCATAATTGTTAGCTAATTAATAAACCTTCTTACTAATTTGAATCACTCTTTTTATTATAAGCAAGTTGTTAATTTACGTATGCATAAAAGAAAATGCATGTGCATGTCCGTTTCCCCAACTTGCTTATTGCAATTTTACTCCATAAAAATATTATCCATGTACAGCAATACCAACCAATGTAATTTTACAACATCTTTCATCATAAAATGCACGAATAATAATAAAAAAAAACTTGTTGATTAAGTCTTGATTTAAGGTCCTCTGTACATACACACACAAATACATAATTAGACATTGTAACCGTACAATGTATTCAAATTATATCCCATTGAATTTGTTTGCATTTTTAATAAAAGTTATTTAAGTTACTAAAAGCCGGTCATCATCACAATCATATCATCAATATAAACAACATCAAAGCAATTTAAGATGCCTTCATAATTAAATTGCAATTATTTTACTTTATATACTTCGCATTTTTTATATCACAAATCATCACCTTAAGGCTATTTTTTTGTTACTTTTCTTGATATGAAATGTGTATGTACAAAAAATATTAACAATAATTTTTGTTGCAATTTTTATAACAAATACAAAAAAAAAAGAAATTTAAGAGAACATATAAATTTTATTTTAATTAAATTTTCAAGAAAAAAAAATCAAACTAAATGTGAAATTAAAGTAATTATTCCTTGGAGGGATTTTGAAAAAAAAATAAGTTAATTACAACAATAATTTGACATATGAACGTTTAACTTTATGACATTTGAAACACAATGTGACAGTAGCTGCGTTTTTTTAATTCAAAAACTTTTACATCCGCGTTTTTTTCATTCTTTCAATTTTAATAAATTTAAGTTTGAAAACAACTTTAAAATTGATTACACACCAAATAAAAAGTCTTGTTTTAAATGTCAAAATAGAGCGCACATGAATTTTATTTCCAAATGTATTATAATTTAATAGAATTTTTTATTTTAGAATAAGTATGCAAGATTATAAAAATAAATAAGTTTTCCTTTTTACTAAAATTCATTTGTGTGATTTCCAAAAGACCGTTTTATGATTAAACAGACTTTTGGGCAACACACTTTATGAGTGTCATCACTTAGAGAAATTAGCCAGCTATCAAAAAGCGGTCGTGAGAGACAGAAGTGATTATTCTCTTTTCTATCGGTTATCCAATCGATGGTTATATTCAATACATACTGGCTAATTAACATATATTGGAATTTTAAGGTGGTTGTTTGCTAAAATAATCGTGTAGTATACTCATTAACGACAATATTATTTTTACAAAACAAGAATTTCCCACAAATTCTAACAATTTTTTCCTACAATCTATTCAATACCCATACATAGTTTATATTATTTTTATTAAAATGTTTTACTTTCATACAAAATATAACAGAAAAGAAAGATTTACGTCCTAAAATATAAAAACAAATATGTCAATAATTTTAACTGGTGTATTATTTTAATAATTCAAAATTAAGCATAAAAAAAAAATGGTGAGAATAGCCATGGCAAAATTGATAATTCTATTAAAATATTTTTATATGACTATTTAAAATTTCTTATATACTAAATATTATATTTTAAAAATAATAACATACTAAAATTTAAAAAAATAATTAAATGAAAAATATAAAACAATTTTAAGCCTTACATAGTTATCACTGTTGGCAACAATTGTGAATGCTTTTTATTTAAACTTCTTGAAAGAAAAAAAGCCCAGATATACAAATAAATTTTTTTCTTTTATATAGATTTTTTTTATATAAAGAGAAAAATTCTATTTATTTAGAACACTTTTCCTTAAAATCAACACTATTGTTGTCGTTATAATATTAAATCACCGGTCACACTACCAGCTGTCAAATATCATTTAAATCACTTGTAGCATTTAGCAAAAACGAAATTATATAAAATGACAAAATAAAAAATTTTTCTGCGGTCACTCTGCGCTTTTTCTTTCTTTTTTCTATTTTTTTTTTTTATTATTTTGACAAAATAATTAATGAAAACAACAATAAAATTTTAGTGAAATATTTTTGATTTTTCTTATATTTTTTTCTTTTATATAAATTTTTCCTTTTTAAAATGAATAACACAAATTTAATTTAAATCAATTTTTCTTTCAAATTTTTTTTATATTTTATTTTTAAGCAGAGCCGAAAAAAAACACTTTTCCTTTTTCACAAAACCTTTGACGTTGATGATTTTATAAAAAATTTTCAGAATTTTTTATTATAGCAATAGAAAAGCGCAGCAACGCGCCAATAATATCAACTACTAAATAGAAATGTCAAATGAATGGAATCAAATCTAATGAGATGAGCAACACTTTAATTTTCATTAACACTTTTGAGATTTTTTTTATTTAATTAAATTTTTTTTTTCACTTTTATTCACTTTATTTTAAATAAGTATGAGTATGTGTATTTATTTTTTTTTTAATTTCTTTTTGTGTTAATTTAGGAGAAAATTTGAAATATTTTCCTTTTTTCAATTTTATTATTTTTATTTTGTTTTTATTTTTGCAAAAAATGAATTAAGCAACAAAAGAGATTTTCTACTCAATTAAATTTCTTATTAATTATTGTGAATTATATTATGTGTATGTAATGATTGCATGATATACAATGATAAAGTACAAAGCCTCATCGCACAATGCTAACGCAGTACAATTATATTATGTGATATGAAAACGAAATAAGCAAATTTATAGAGTAGCTATAATAATTTCTTAATTATATTTTTTTTTTAATAAGAAAACATTTATGTACATAACCTTTCTTTACAATATTCGTACATGTATATAGAGGCACACATAATATGCATATATATGCATGTATGTATATAATTTTGTTAAGTGATTATTTTAATGTTTTTGATTTTATTTTATCCAATTAACAAAATTTCTTAAAGTGATCTTTAATTTTATTTATGTGTGCTGTTTCTGTGTGTTGTTGTGTTGCCGGTATTGTTGCTGCTATATTTTTATTATTGTTGTCGTTATTATTTGTCGTCGCGATATTTTTTTACAGCACTTTTTTTTTTGGTATTTTAATTTACTATACAATTTTATGTATAAATGTTTGTATGTTTTATGTAAAAAATGTTGATACTCTCTTAATCATTTATTTTGTAAAAAAGATATTTTTATAATTTCATTCAATTTTTTTTAATTTTATTTGTATTTCTTTTGCATATTTTTTTTCGTGTTACTCAAACATAAAATTATTTGTTTTTTTTTTTTTTATTTTAAAAATTAATTCACTTTTTCTCAAGATCACACAAAATTAAGTAAAAATGGGAAAAAACGCGCAAAAACTTTTTCACTTGTTTTCTTTACAATTTTTGCTCCGTTTTTGTTTTTAGAAATTTCTGAAACTGAAAAAAATTATAAAATAAACACCATATGTGATTAAACATATTTTTATACTATAATGTTTATTATAGAAAAGAATTTTGAAATAAATTAAAAAACTTTAAAATAGCATAAAAAAATAAAAAATTAAAAGAGAGAGGAAAAAAAACCCTTGTTTTTTTATTCATTTCGAAAAAGAACATGGCAAATAATTAGTGAATTTCAACACTAATTTGATTTTTTTTTAAATTGATTATAATTTTTTAAGTCCTTAGATATACATATTACTTTATACGTATAACAATTATCATATATATAAAAAAAATAAGTACACAATACAATTTAGTATTTTCTTTAAAATTTGTCTTGTAAAAATGTTACTTTTTATAGTATTTTATTTATTTTCGCATTTTGTCGTTTCTGTAATAATTGAAATTCATCTTTGTAATTTGTTCTTAAAATTTCTTTAATTACAATATTATAATGACGTACGTAATTACATTTGAATGTTCCAAATACTAAAAGAAATTAACATTGCGTATACAAATATGAAATCACAATGTTATAAGAAAAATAAAAATTGAAAAAAAGAAAAAAATATATAAATGATCCTATAAAATAATGATTTTGTTCATGCTAATTAAGAGATAATTAAAAAGAAAAAAATCTAAGTCGAATGAATTTTGATGAAGTCCATTATGACAATTAAATTAATAAAACTTGTGTAATTTAATTTTATAAACGCAATAGATTCCTTCACGCAGTCGCGACGCACTGTTACCCCAGCTTTAAAAATCGAGAAATCTAATTAAAACTTATGCAGGGTGCCTAAATTTCATTTCCGAGATTTTCTCGATCCATATAAGTTACAGTTGAATGCGGTTAAGAAAAATATAATTGAAAACATAAACAAAGTTAAACATTATTTTTGTAAATTTCGCTTCGGGGAATAATCGTTTCATTGCTCCTTTCTGAATTCAGTCTTTTGAAATTTCAAACATCAAAGGTTTGAAATTTCAAGTGACTGAATCATTTATATGAATTATTTGTTTCATCATTTATATTAAATTGTTTGCAAATATTTTTTGATTTTCGATACTATGAAACGTACGATATTGCTCCTTACACATAACGGATTAAGAACTTATTTTTTTCAAATCAATATACTTATCTTGTATTTTTGTCGCTTCAATTTATAAAAATTGATGGAGATAATTTGAAATTATTTAAAAAAAAAAACCAACTTAAAAAATGTCTGCAATATTGTCAATTTTTTTTAACAATCTGAAATAAATTTGACCAGTTGAATTTTATGAGTTTGTAATATTATCAATTAACAATTTACAATTAACCACTTCCAACTATAAAACCAAAAAAAACTATGTTAATAACTCAGTGTTAAATCTTTAAATTACTTCAAACCAATTTATTTTTATGCTCGATCTAAATATCAGTTTGAAATTATTAAGATTTTTCTTGAATTTCCTCTTTTTTTTCTCTTATTTTATATTTCAAAATTTTTAAACTTTTATTCAAAAATGCATCAACTCACAGTATCCATTCGTGAAAATATTTTATTGAAAAATGTTAAGTACTTATACATTGTAAATAATTAAGAATGTTCAAGAATGTAAAGTAAAAAAAAGGAATAAACAAAGAAAAAAAACGAGAAATATCTAAAGGAATTTTTATTTAATTAAATCTATACGATGTAAATATTTGAAATTATCGAATTAATTAAGATGCATTTCCAATATAGTACAAGCTATTAAAATTTATATACAAACATACGTAATTGCGACATCGCACATTGCACACTTATTTTAATTAAAAAGTAAGTGACACAAGAGAGTAAACAGTTTGCGATTGTAAGAATTTATTTGCACTTCATGGAATGCAAATATATTTGACCGTGTCCGTTTTGTATAATACGAGTATGTCATTATATGTGTTTATTAAATTCAATAAGTTTACAATGCCAGTCAAAGATCGTGAATATGCAAAGCAAAAATTAATTATTTCGTTCAAAAATGTCATTCGTTCACTTCAGTTCTTCAAAACAAATTGCCCTGTCAACAGCTATTATTACAAGTTTATTGACAAATAAAGAATTTTCGATATTTGAAAACTATTGAATTAGGGTAAGGAATTTAATTTTGTACTTTGGCCACTTTAAACTACTGAACCGTTTAGTTCTTCCGGTTCATTGTTTCATAAAACATTAAATCTTACACACGTCTTTGCATTTCGTTTATAAAGCATTTTTGTGTAAACACAATTTAATATTTTTACGTTTACAATTTTCATAGATGAAGTGAAAAAGAAGAAAACCAAAAAACTTTTTCTTACACCACTACTTGTTGACATAAAAAGTATACAATGTACAAACAAACATACACATTTTCTTTGGAAAAATTTATAAATTTTAATTAAATTTAATTGTAAATAATTTGATAATTTATTGTAAATATTGAAACGCATTACATTTTAATTTATTATGTCTTGAAGTTTTTTCATTTTTTTTACATTTTGATTGAATTTTTATTTATTTTTTTGTAAAAAAATTGCAATTTAATCGGTCTTTGACACACTTAAGTTTTAAAAACACAAAAAAAAAACGAAATCAAAAAATTTTAATTAATTTAATAATTAATTAAAAACTTATGATCTTGAAAACAAATTCAATATTATGTACGTACACACATGTACATGTATATAAATCAACTAGTAAAAAATTCAATTAAAATTCTTGTTATCGTTTTACTGCTTTTGTTATTATACACTTGTATAAAAAAAAGCGTGACTGACTAAATAATAAGTATTGACTGAGTAAATATGTAATTCCATAGTGTCCGGTTATTTAAAAGGGATAGTTGGTAGTCTTATTTATTGTACAAATTTCTTAGAAATGCCAAGCATAACTATCTATATCGAGTACTTATCTACATCACGTACAGTAAATTTAAATTTTGCATTTGACATTTTATATATAAAATTATTTTATTAATACATATAATAATAATATATTGAACCTCAATTACGATGCGATCTACTCTCAATTACGATCTGTTGAATTTATACGGTATATCTCTCAATTACGATCTGTTAAACTTTAATTTAGGATTAAACTTTAATTTAGGATAAATACATGTGAACCTGCGTTTACAAATAACATAAAATCTACGACTAAACAAAGTCTGAGATTGTTTATATATCAGACTAAAATTATGTGATAAAGCTTCACGTCAAATTTATTTTTACGTCAAATTTAATAATTTTTTCTACAAATATTATATCCAAAATAAAAATTAGCTTTTTGGGAGTTTGGAACATCTCGAAAAAAATTTATTGTTGTCGTTTTTAAAAAATTTGTAAAAAATTTGACAATAAATCTAATAAGAAATTTTACTTGTCAACAGACAAAGTCTGATGAAAACAGTACCCAAGAATTAAAAACGAATGCAAATAAAGTATGTAAATAGAATTGTGTATTTGTTTAAGAAATTTTTCCAATAAATTAAAACCGGACGTAAGAAAAAAAAATTTAATCATTTTTTTTATATTTGATATTTTAATTATCACTTAAAGTAAATATTACTGAAGTGCAACTTTATTTATAATATAGCAATCAACATTAAAATTAATAAATTCTTAAAATAAAATTAAAATTTCAATATAGTTCCCTGTGACAAGCTTAAAATTTATTTAATAAATATTTACTTAATATTAACATTTAATTTAATATTCGTCTCGAAATAATGTAATTTTGTGAATTAATTTTATAAAATTTTTAACATCTAAATGTGATTTTTCTCACTCTAAATTTGACTGATTTCGACAATATATTGAATGCTACACCTAATATGGGAATGACGTTTCAGTTATTAACACATTCCAGCAATATGTTTGTGTTGTATAATATGTACATACGTACATATATAATGCAAATATTTACGCGGAAAATATAAGGGAATTTAATTTAAATTGTAACAAATAACAAGCTGTACTCAAAATTAAAGTAATTCAATGTAAAGTTACAGATATTGCAGAAAATTTGTTATGTGGATTAATAAATTATTATTGATATGCAAGTGATGTGTGTGTTTTAATAAAACATGTTTCGTGGCTGCAAATCATATTTGCGTATATAGATTACAGTTATGACTTGTTGCTTTCAAACCTCCTTTAGTCATGCAAGTAACCGATGTCTTCAATGGGTAAGGAATCTGTGAAACAGTAGGAATAATTACAATTTACCGCAAGAGTGCAATCTATTTCTGTTTCGATATTATATTTAAATTTTATTTCAAAAATGCTGAAGTTCATCTATAAAGCTAGTAAGTGTTTAAAAAATAAATTTTATGAAAAACTACTTAAAAATTAACAGATCGTAATTTTTTTTTTTAATTTTGCTTTTCTTTGAAGTTAAAGAAAAATAAATCTTTTTTTCTGTTTACGCTTCAAAATCTTATCTTTATTTATATTATATAAACAAAAATATTAATGGAATTTTTTGTAAAATATTTAAAATATACAGTGTACAATACGTTTTCATCTTGAAAATATCTTTTTAAAATAATTTTAAAAAAATAATAATTACATTTATTTTAGTACCAATCAGAATTTTAATAAACATCCAAGATTATTTAAGAAACTATAAGATCCAAACTTAAAAGTAAATAATATTTTTCTACATCAAAAATATAAACGCTATTCTACCTTGACAGGAGTGGAAAATAATTGAGAGGTATTTTATACTGATATTTGTTGTGTTTGTCCATTTTTAAACTCAAAATTTTTACATATTGCAGGTTTGGCATTTGCTTTTCTTAGAAAATATAAGGTCATCCAAGTTGCAATTCCATAACAAATATGCTCAAAGTCTCCAATAATTTAGACTTCATAGATTGAAAGTCTTTTTTATATAGGCTAAGTTAGTTGGAAGTTTTATATACTTTAAATGCTATATGCAACTTGACTTTTGTTTACTCTATCTATTAGCGCTAGCCTATGCAAGAGAATA